GAAAACAATCTTATAATTTACAATACCCATTTGTTCTCTATCCTTTCACATATTCTAGTGAGATCTTTGGTCAGTAGTTTTGATCCTCGATTGGTGATCATTAAAAGCGTGATCATCTTTGTTTCACCTGCCGGAACTCGAACATCTTTGTCTCTCGCCATAAAGTACATCCCACGTCCAAATCTGCCTCCTTCCTCAACGTTACTCCAATAGAAAAGTGCCGAAATTTGCACGACGTGGTGAGAGTGCGCCCGACATCTGTTGGCTCATTTCTTGGGGTCAACAACTTTCATCTTTATTATAAATAATCCATCTCAGGCTTGCCTCTTTCTACAGTTATCTCTATTACTTCTAAGTTAATCATTGATCGCATTTTGATTCCATCCATTTCTTTAGTTCGCTCATTGGTATTTGAGGAATTCTTTTGGTTGTTTTATAAAACTTTATCATTGTATCATTAAACAATCACTAATTTATTCAACAATAACATTATTTCTTAATGTTGATGAAAGCCCGTAAGAAGTGCATCTTGCTTGGAAATGCACTTTCTTTAGGCTTCAGAAAGGGTTAAGATAAAAATAGATTTAATAGATTTTAATAAAAGTTGATGAAATGTATGGTTGAAAAGATGTGGGTCCAATAAAATATGTGGTTAAAATTAATTATTGACTTTGACTTATTTTAATCTAAGTTTCTAGTGAAACCGAACAGGGGCTAAATCTCATCTACGTTCATATGCACATCATCAAAAGGAAGTTGAAGCAAAATGAGCGACTTCATCTGCATTGAGGGTCAACTTTTTGAAACTCGTGCTGTTATCATATATAAGGAATCACCTAGTTTAACCTCTTGCCAAAGCCAATTTCATCGCCTTATTCCATACATCTTCTCGGTAAAGTAATGCGCTATAATGACTACTGCAAATGAAGGACCATATAATTTTTCTACTCCATTCATCCCATGAATATATGCTTGTTTTCTTTTTTTTGTTGTTCCAAATTATATGCCTCGTTCTTGTTGAGAACATATTCAATCTTTTAGTTTTCTAAATATCCCTATTTAATAATGTGTTTTGCTATCAATAAATTTAAATTATTACTTAATATAAGGGTACATTAAAAAGAATGTAAGAAAAATTTATATTTTAAAAAATATTAATTACATATGATTAATATGTATGAAAATAGAAATAAGTTTATGGGAAGAATGCATAACTCAAGTGTTAATTATACCCCTAATTCAATTTTAAGAGCAAATGTTTAAAAATTCAAAATTCAAGTGGTAACTAATAAATATTATATATAAAATAATTCTCGACCCACTCCAATCTCTCTCTAGTAGCCACAGTCATCGGCATCTACCCATCGCCTTTCCCTCTCACGGTTTCGGGCATCCACCGGTCGTCGACGTCAACTCGCTGCCATCTTCTCTTACAGCACCAGAATCCATCCGCGACCATCCCTCTCTCACAGTCACCGATATCCACCTGATTCGAGATCCATGAGTAGAGGTATATTAGAAAAAATGTAATAAAAAATTATATTTTTTCAAAATATTAATTACATTTTATTAATCTATATGAAAATACAAGTAAGCTTATGGGAAGAATGCATAACACTTAAGAGAAAATGTTTAAAAATTCAAAATTTGGGTGGTAATTAATAAATATTGTATATAAAATAATTCATGCCCCACTCCAATATCTCTCAAGTCCTAACCACACTCACCAGCATCCACCCGTCGCTATCCTCTCTCACAGTCATAGAAATCCATCCGCCGCCTATACCAACCCATCACCATCCCCTCTCACAATCACCGACATCCCCCCGGCGCCATCCCTCTCTCACACTTACCATCATCCATGTGATTCGAGATCCATGAGTAGGGGTATATTAAAAAAATGTAAAAAAAAATTTATATTTTTAAAAGTATTAATTATTTTTATTAATCTAAATGAAAATAGAAATAAGTTTATGGGAAGAATGCATAACTCAGGTGTTAACTATACCCCAATCCAATTTTAAGAGAAAAGGTTTAAAAATTAAAAATTTAGGTGGTAATTAATAAATATTATATATATAATAATTCTTGAGCCACTCCATCTTACTCCATCCTAGCCACAATCACTAGCATCCACCCTTCGCCATCTCTTCTCACAGTCACATGCATCCACATTCCGCCACATCAACTCGCTACGAGTAGAGTTTGAGCACAAAGCATATTGATTAGTGAAGTAGGTGAATATGGATTTAGAGAAGGCTGTGGAAACAAGAATATTACAACTTCATCAATTGGAACAATTCAGACGAGAAGCCTATGAAAGTTCATCCATTTACAAAGAAAGGACAAAGTAATGGCATGACAAGAACATTCGACAACGAATTTTTAGAATGAGATTGGGCACCCAAGGATACATTGCACCCAAGTACGCTAACATTTTTTTTCATTTTGGAAGTTATATCATATTTTTACATGATAAATTCTTCACGCTATTGAACTTGAATTCTACATTTCTTTAGGAATGCATTAACTAGGCATTTGACAATGAAATCAGATGTATACACTAATGGAGTCGTCCTCCTGGAATTGTTGAATTATTGACTGAAAGGGTACCTTTGGATATGAAGAGGCCTCGAGGGGAAGTTTTTTTCATTTCTTGGGTACGTTTATTGTTTAATTGTTGCGCAGTTGCCATGTCAAATAGTATGATATTATTTCACTAAAAGTTTAGTGTGCACACGTGTTTTTCTATATGTTCCAATGAAATTTCTTTTCCATAATTATGCTGGTAGGCTTTATTCCAACTCATGGATAGAGAAAAGGTTATAGATATCGTGGACCCTGCCCTCGAGGGCTAGTACTCGATGAAGGAGGTTATTAAAATTGCCACCATCTCTATGGCCACTAATGGCGGACGTGGTGTAGTCGCTAGTCCCTTTGGTGAAATATTACAAACTACCTTGAAAGCCAAGTACCAGCCCAAGTTTCCACGCTATGCAATCTCGTAAAACATAGGACTATCAAAGCTATTCGGATGAAGGACCGGACCTAATCTTACATATTATCCATGTATGCTTATTAAGCTAACTTATTGTAGAAGGGTTCTTCTAGTTGCATTAATGCAAATTAATGTATAGGATAACTCAACATTAGGCACATACTCGAAAGTTCACCATGTTCCCAATCATCATCCGCAATACTATTGTTTCATTATCATAAACTTAATTTAATAACGCAAGCGAGAATTACATTAATTCTTCCAACTTGATAACTCTCATTCACTTGGTAAATCAAATAGTTTTGGATAAGATTTTCTCTAAATCTTTCTATCATCAAGCTATCATTCAACTGAGAATCAACGGATCTAAGTAAGAATCTCACTAATTCTACTGATCTTAACATTCATAACAATTCACGAATTAATACATATCATGCAATTCAATAAGGTAATTGTCATACCGCTGCTCTCTGTCCTTAAATTTTTTTATGTTTATATATATCATACTAGGATTTAATAATTTGTATTTAACTCGAGTAAGCATTTTATAGTAGAATCAAAACATAT